TAAATAAATAAATAAATAAATAAATAAATAAGAAATAAGAGGGGGGCGATGATACCTTCCTCAATGGCTCAAGGGGGCGTTTCTTTCAAAAAGGTTAAGAACCACTGCTTTAGAGGATAGCGTGGCTTGAATGGGACCATCCAGACAGCACCCTGCTTGGCGCGGGCGTCCCTACGGACATGGGGCTGGTGGTGCCTGCCCCGTGTCCTCCTCGCCTCCTGCCACTTACAGGTCAGCTTGTCTTGTGTGTGGCTAGAGGAACTGCTTTGGCTGACTGCATCTAGGACGGAGGCGGTGCTCAGGCTGCTCCCTTTTTAAAAAAAAACCCTTTAGACTGTGCCTCTCGGTAAACTCTGGGCTAGCAAGCAGGGAAATGAGACCAGACAGGCGCCTGCCCCAGCCTGGGCTTACCCAGGGAGACCGAGCAAGCCTCTTTAGTCTAAAGGCCCAACACACTCCCTCCCTCCCTCCCAGGCTACAGTGAGCTGGTGGGTTTCTGTCCTCCCATCAATACTACACAAGACGGTAGACAAAGGGGAGCAGGAGGCCTCTGTCCTCGGCTGCTTTTATTGAAATGCAGTTTTGAGGAATGACTCATTCTACAGAGTAGCCTAGTGAAGCAGGACAAAACTCACTGTCACTAGGCGAGTGTAAATTCAGCCTCTCAGCTTCCACCGCCTTTCCCTCCCACCCACTGCCCGGCCAACCCCAGTTTATTTCCGGGTAATTGCTATTATCGGGTGGACTGGTTTACTTCCGGTTTCGCACATCCCACTGAAGAGAGGAGAAACCTTCTCCCAACCTGGCTTGATTCTGGGGCGCAATGCTTCCGTTACAGAGACCAGTGCAGAACCAGGCCATAACATATGGCGTAGCCACATATTGTATCCAGCAGTTTGCAGCAATTGCGTAGCTAACCTAAGTCAATACAGAATTTGGAAAAATTAGGGATTTATTTATTTGGACCGTTACTCCGAACTTAGAGAGGGCTTGAAAAACACAGTCTTGGACAGCTGACAAAATTGCTCCACCACATGACTTGTGGATTTAGGAAGCTCTGGTGCCAAAAGAGAGACTCTTATCCAGTTTTGAAACACTGCTTAGCTGGAAGCAGCCTCCGGCTGCCGGTCTCATTGGACGTAGCAACCCGTCGCTTCCAAAGAAAGAAGGCCTTAATCCCGTTAACCTGCTTCTACAATTAAGCTACCCATGTTCCAGAAGAGTAGACTTGGTGAGCAGGACTCATCTCGGTCCTGTTGAGGCTTTACTCCTGCCCTGCAGAAGTCCAAAAGGTGAGCCCGGAGGGAGACACCAACCTGTCTGTCCAGGAAAAGGAAACCGTCCTTAGAGGAGCTCAAGTTGGCCTGGGCGCCTGCAGAAAAAGGGCACTGGCTTCATCGGGACCCTTGGAGGCATTGACGTCTGTTTGTGCCCATTACACAGCAAAGTTTCAAAGTCCCAAGATAAAATGCTCCCGTTATCCGAGAACAAAGGTTGATTAAAGAAAAGAAAAAGGAGTTTTAGATGCCCCCAGCTTTGGCTGCTGTGGCACAGAATGAGGTGTGGCAGGGCAGAGGCCAAGGGTCCCGTTTCCTGCCCGGGAAAGGGGAGATGAAGGGAAGCGATGCCCAAGGCGGGCCCAGGGCCACCCACCTCCGGGGCCCTCGTCTGTCCCGTCCGTCCTTCATTCGTACTGCACGAGGGAGTGAAGCGGGAAGGGCTTGATCAGGTCTGCTCCCTTCAGGAACTTCAGCTCGATGAGGACGAGGCACTCCACCACCTCGGCCTCCAACTTGCCCATCAGCTGGCAAGCCGCCCGCATGGTGCCTGCCCGAAAGGAAGAGAGGGCATCATTGCGTGGGGGGGGAAGGGGGGAGAAGGAAAACATCAGCCCTCAGCGCATAGGCTCTCCTGAGCACTTCTGGCAAGCGACACACTTCCTACCGGGGTGCACTTATAATCCTGCCCTTTCCGCAGCTAGCTCAGGAGGGAGGGCACCCTTGACGCTCTTGCTCCCTGCTCTACCCCAACAAGAACCCTGTGAGGTAGGCCAGCCGGGGAAGACTGGCCCAACGTCATGCATTTCATGGCTCAGTCTGAACCTGAACCGGGCTCTCTCAACATACAGTCTACAAGCAGCCGACCAAATCAGAAAGTAGCAAGGGCTATGTGGATACACAAACAGTACCAGAGGGGCAGCCGCCTGTCTGCTGCTGAACTGTTGCAATGGTGACAAAGAATCCGGTGGTACCTTGAAGACTACAACAGGTTTTATGTGACCCAAGCGTTCACGGATGGCAGCTCCGACATCCAGAGTGGAGCCTGAAGTGGGTTGCAGGCCACGAACACATAAATGAACCAAACGGTGTTGGCTTTTAAGTTGCCACAAGACTCTTCGTCAGTGTTGCTGGAACAGTACAGAAGCCAGGAGCCCTTTCAGTGAAAGGGGTCTGAATTTTCTGCCATTTTTT